AGAAAATGTGAGATGGAATATGAAATTTTATGGTATGCACTATATATTTGATAGATTTAATTTATTTAAATATATTGATGGGAAAATGATTTAAGGAAAAGGGGATAATGGTCCATGCACCTTCCATAAAGTTGATGGCCCATCTTTGTAATGGATGACACAGATCTCTCTCCCCACAAATAAACTTGATCAACGGTCCATATTTCATCTCAAGAAAGAGACAAACTATGAGAAACCCTAAATAAACCTTAGACCTAAATTTCGTTATAAATAGGGGTGCTCTCCCCCATCTTTACACACCTCTCTCTCTTCCATAAGCTCTCTCTCTCTTCTCTCTCTCTTAGAGGGGCATGCCCCACTCTCTCTCCTCTATATTTCTCTCTTTAACCCTCTCTCTCTCCTAAGACCCATAGGGGGCACGCCCAACCTTAGGTCTCATTTTCTCTCTCTCTTGACCTAAAGATTTAAGGGTTGGGAATTAGGGTTTGAGCTTAATTATTTTGGAGTTAGGGTTTTGTATAAATTTAAGGGTGGTTACCTAGTTTAGCCGAAATTAGCTTTCTTGGTTCGAGATTGAAGCTAACTCTTGATCCTACGCCATTGGATGTGGTGACTTGCTGTGGGGTGTAAAAAACCCGATTGAGGTAATCTCCGGCATCGTTTTTTTTATTTGCTTGTTCTTTTATTTTATATTCTCAAGCATAGTATTAGGTTGTATGAATGGTATCAAGTAGTTGAGATTTATTTTATTGATGTGTTATTTATTTTTGAAATTTCTATTGTTTGTAATAAGACCATTTGTGAGTGATCTTGTTGCTAGAATAAAAAAAGAAAAAAGAAAAAATAAAAAATAATAAATAAAAAATAATAAATAAAATATAAAAAATAAAAAATAATAAATAAAAAATAAAAAATAAATAATAAATTGTATTTCCCCGACAAAAGATCACATAGGTCTTTCTTTCAAATATGGGGATCTATTTTTAAAGGGTGTGGTTTGTATAAGGTTGCAACCTTAAACAATCCAAAAAAGGTGGACCCCCCAAATTGTACCATAAGATATAATTTTGTTGTAAAAAATTCTTAAAATGGACTTATAATCCATTTTCATCTCCAATTATGAATTTGTAAACTCAAAAAATGGGTCAAATCAAGTATATCTATGAACACATGAAAATTTTGAAAATGGACAGTCTAGATAATAAGTTGCAAGATGCACTATTTTTGGGACTCAAAATCTTTTTTTTTTGATATATTCATACACCATGATGTAGAGACGATAAAAAAAAGGGTTTTCCAACATCAAAACAATATTTCCTAATGGATTTTTTAGGTGCACCTGTAATTCTATATTTTAAGGTTGAAAGTTTTTTCATTTTTAAAAGTGCATTTTAAAAAGAAATGTTTTTTATTTTTGAGTTCTTAGTAAAACTTTGTTGTGAGAGATTATATACCCTTGGGTATATAAAATCAACTTCTATCTTATTTTGTTATTATTAGTTTCATTTTTAGGTAATAATGAATGAACCTATGTAATGAGTCATGGACACGTGGGTACATCCCTCTTCATCATGCTAATTCTTCCCATCCGAACCTAACTTATTTCTCTTTATTATCCATCCTAACCAAACTTCAAACGTAAGATGAATTTCTTGATTGACACCTAATCACGAACCTGCACATGTTTCATATATAGAAGATTGGTATGAATTGCTTGTGCCTATATGTTAAGGGCAAGTTTTCTATGCTTCCCCTATAACATAAGACTTCTATAAGTCCCCTTATCCAACCCTCTATTCTGAATGGAGGGCTAAGATTGCCTCCATCACATTGTCACATCTCTACACTAATTTTTTTTTTATAAACTATTGACACCAAATTTTGGATGTCCAATCCTTTATTAAACTCGCACTAAAAAAAAATATAAAAACAAAATTTTCAATAAAATAAAATGATCAAAATACCCCTGAAATTTTCAAAGGGTATTTGGGTTATTGTATTTTATCGAAAAGTTATTTTTAATAGTTTTTATAGGTGCACCCCAATGAGAAGATGGCACATACCTTTCATATTCATGCACTTTGTATAAAAAAAACTAAAAATAAAATACTTTGAGATGTCAGATCTAAGATCAAACGGTGAGTGACTATCTTGATCAAAATTGGATAGTTGGATTGTAGGGGAATAATAGATCTTCTATGCTGTAGGGGTAGTATAGAAACTTTTCTCATGTATTAATAGGTGTCGACACAATCGATGGGGGACATAGCTCAAGGTAAGGTGAAAGTATGAGCCAATATGCTAATTCGTGTGACACATGATACAATCGACCTAGGACATAGACACACGAGGAAAAATCAAATGTCTGTATCAATGTCTTAAAAACGCTGGGTCGACACGAAATCGCCCAGTCTAACTAGAGAATTGGCCATCCCATGCCGATTAAGTCTAATATTAGAAAATCATCGGGTGCAGAAGAGATTCAGTGATTTGCTACAGTAAAACGAAGTCTTTCATTTTGCTACCTTAAAAATTACTATTTTGCTACAGTAAAAACACTAATTCACCGATCTAGATTCGTTTACGGGCGGTCCACTAATTTTGCACGTATGTTTTTCAAAACGGGTGGGGAGTGTTTGCAGAAGTCGGTAAACCTCTACTAGCGCGTCCACGCCTAATTTTTAATTGAATATTGCCCCTCATATTATGGGAGTGCGTTGAATGTATTACCAGAAATCCACATATATATAAAAATACTACAAATAAAGGGCATATTTTAGTAAAATCAACTAAAACTCTGCCCTAGAGCACATGGCTGGCAATATCGCCAGTCCAACTTTCTTTACAAGACCTTGGTAACTCAACAATCTTTTTACATTTTATTCTTACCTCACTTATCGCAATCTGTGCTTGTATTCTATAAATACAACGATTGCTGATCTTCTGTCTTCTTATCTCTCTCTTCTCCTCTGTCTCTTGGGTCCCGTCTTCTTCATCTGCGAGCAATGGACGGCGATGGTAGCTTGAACTCCCCTCTGTTAATTCGGAGGTGGGAAGATGAGAGCGCGAAAGAGTTGGAGTTTGCGGATGGGCCCAAATGGAGGAAGGAAGATGTTTTGGGGGAGTTGAAGAAACAGGTTGCACTGGGTGGACCTTTGGTTACAGCAAACTTGTTGCAGAAATGCATGCAGATTGTTTCAGTTATGTTTGTAGGGCATCTTGGTGAGCTTCCTCTTGCTGGTGCTTCCATGGCTACTTCCTTTGCTAATGCCATAGGCTTCAGCGTGCTGGTATCTCCTCCTCCTCTTGTCTTTCCATCAAGCCCAAATTCTTTTCCGAGTTTCGGACAATTGTTTGTTCGATTTCGAAAAACTTGGTTTTTTTTATTTTTATTTTATTTTTTATTTTTCGCCTAAATTGAAACTTGAAACCCAACCCAAATTTAGTTTGGGGTTTCGATTTCAGTTGTGTTGGAAAACTTTGAGTCTTTGACAAAAGTTTGAGGCATGGATTCACACCAAGCACGTAGATCAGAGGATCCACCTTGAAATCATTCATCTTTTTCCATTTAAGTTCTTAAAAATGGTTAACTTGTCCTTGATTTATCATTCATTTCGCATTATTTTTTATATTTTTCTGATTTGCATTGTTTTTTTTATTTTTTTTAAATCCCCATTTTTTCGGACTTCTTCTGTTCTTAAAGATAAAGGCGTGATAAGACGTGATTTTGCTATATGCGTAGGTTTTTAATGAATATATACAATAAACAGAAATATAGTTGTTGGCCCCTTTCGCGGCACTAAGAGTAGGTCCCAGAAAAGTAAAATATTTAGTAATCGGGTCCTAACTTTAATTGGGCGGGTCCCAACTTTATTGGGCTTGCATGAAAGACCCGATGGATATCTTGTGATTAAGATTTACAGATTGCGATTGTGCCAACACAACTCGACCAGTCGTTTCACAATAATTAATTTGGTTCCCACGTGACTGATGAGTTGCACGGTTGACAATACTGCCCCTCTGAAACAGGCTTGAAAATTTCGAACCTGTGTTTTGGGCTTAGGAAATCGAAATTTTGTCACGATATATATATTTTTTTCTTTTTGTTTCTTTTTTTTTAACGTGTGAGGGCCAGATAGATTAACGTGGATTGAATTCTTTGAAAATGGAGTAAATGATTCAAATGCTTTTAGAGAGATTATGGTAGGGAAACGTTGGTAGGATTTAGATAAAAAATGGTGCCTCTCTTCAAGGGCAAAATTGGATGGTAGAAAAAAATAAAAAAATGCTTTTTTTCTTATACGAAAAATTCCTAACTCATAATCATTAATATAATTGAAATTAATAAAGGGTGTGGTTTCCTGACTCATAATCATTATCATAATTGAAATTAATAAAAGGTGTGGTTTGCGTTAATATGCAAAGTAGGTGTGCCTTAAAATAGTGCTGGAATATGTTGTTTTAGTATAAACTATAAAACATAATCAAACAAAATTTTTTTCTCTATAAATTTTTTTTGAATATGGAGCATCCCAGCAATATTTTAACTCAAAAATGAGTATTTTCTTTTAATCAATGAATATCATGTGATTTGATATTGATTAGTTCCTAAAGAATCTTATAGAGTTGGTAGAACCGGTCGTCTTGACCTGTCAACCTCAGAACTGGACTCAATGGGGATCGAGTTTCAGAATTGGCGAGTTGACTGTGTACCGTCCGTTCTATGAATATAGGTTTAGATTGGGACCAACTCAACTTGACCTGTTATTTACATAAATAATATACATATCGCTTAGTATTATATGTTTTATTTATTTCTAATATAAAAACATTTTAATTTATTTTAATCTATTTTATACCGTTGAACCCAACCTGACTAGGTAGATCAGGTTTGGTTCCAATTGACCTGGACCCAACCTATGTCTGGATCAGGTTCCCATTGCTTTAGAGCTACTAGTCATTTGACACACTCATGTTTATTCTTCATATTCCAGTATGGCATGGCTGGTGCGCTCGACACGCTGTGTGGACAAGCTTATGGTGCAAAACAGTATCACATGGTTGGTGTACATGCACAAAGAGCTCAGTTTATATTCTTTGTGATTGGCATTCCCATATCTCTTGTATTGTATAACACTGAAGGCATCCTACAAGCAGTTGGGCAAGATGCACTGTTATCGAAAGAAGCGGGCAGTTATGCTATATGCATGATCCCAACCCTCTTTGCTTATTCTCTCCTTCAAACCCTAACTAGGTTCCTGCAGACCCAAAATGATGCTCTTCCGATAATGCTGAGCACCGGAATTACTTCATTGCTTCACCTCCCAATTTGTTGGGTTCTGGTTTCTAAATCGGGTTTAGGAGCCAAGGGTGCGGCGCTCGCAAATTCAGTCTCGTATTTCTTGAATGTCATACTACTCTCACTGTATGTGAAGTTCTCTACTACCTGCGTGAAGACTTGGACAGGTTTCTCGATGGAAGCTTTTCACAACATTGCGCACTTTTTTAGGCTTGCAATACCTTCCACCGTAATGGGCTGGTATTGTTCACTCTTCTCATTCTATACATATTTTCTTCTCTAAATGAAGGATCATCGGGTATGAGTTCTAACTATTGATTTTCTCAGCTTGGAATGGGCATCTTATGAGATATTGATCCTTCTGAGTGGTCTTCTTCCCAACCCAAAACTTGAAGCATCTGTGCTGGCAATATGGTAAATAATTTAAACACTTGTTTCACTCTCTTGGAATTTTCTTATTTAAATTTCACGAAAAATTTAACATTTAATTGTACCTTGCCCAGCCTAAACACGGAGGCATTGACTTTTACGATACCTCAAGGTCTTGGTGATTGTATAAGGTGAAGCCTTAGCTAACAATCAATGCTGTAGAAGTTTCAAGCTACATAACAATTCTTTAATTTTGAAATAATTTTCTCTGTTTCTCATCTTTTTAATTACAGTACCAGGGTTTCAAACGAATTAGGTGCTGGAAATCCACGCCGTGCAGTTTTGGCTATTCGGGTTATATTGCTCCTTGTCATACTAGACAGCTTACTAGTCGGTGCGTTCATTTTGGTTGTACACAATTTTTGGGGATATTTGTATAGCAATGAACAAGAAGTTGTAGACTACGTCTCAAGGCTGACACCATTGCTTGTGATTGCTAACATCATGGATGGAACCCAGTGCATGCTTTCGGGTAACTATTTCCTTCATCCAAGTCAGTTAATAATCTTGGGAATGATCTTTAGCGGACAACCCAAATTCATCATTAATGCTTTTCCAACAATTCTAAAACACAGGGTAATCATGTACTGAAAATACATATTATCCCGCAGGCATTACAAGGGGTTCTGGTCGGCAAAAATTTGGAGCTTTGGCCAATTTGGGTGCTTATTATGGAGTGGGTATTCCCATGGCCATTATTTTGGCCTTTTACTTCAATGCCGGAACCAAGGTTTGGTTTACTTCTTTTACTGTGTCTCGCCAAATAAATTAGCTCTTAATGCCGAAACAAATATTATCTGAATACTTGTCTAAAATAAGGTGCATTATTGCAGGGTCTTTGGATGGGAGTCATTAGTGGGAGCTTTGTTCAAGGTCTATCACTTCTTATTATGATACTATCCACCAACTGGGAACAAGAAGTAAGTGAAATTGAATACAATTTCCAAGTCCGCAAATTAATGCTGATTTTTAAGAATCCAATAATGCCTATACAATTCCTCTCTCAATTTGATAATCAAGTCTGTACGATTGGATGATATTTGAGCTGGAAGCCAAAGAAATTGAACGGAATTAGGTGAGAAAATAGAATATGTTTAGGGAGATTTGATGAAATGCTTTAGCTTCCATTATTGTTGATGAGGTTGCTTTTAATGGTTTTTAAGAAAATTTTAAAACAAAAAAATTGATTAGTGCTATTTATTTTATAGCATTCTATTTTATTCTTACGAACTTGATGAAGTGAAATTAAATACAATTTGCAAGTTCGCAAACTAATGCTGATTTTTAAGAATCCAATAATGCCTATGAGAAAGGGGTTAAGAAGGTGCATTTTTGAGTGATCCTGCATTAGAATTCAATTCCTGGGGTTTATTCAACTCTTTTTCTTCCTACTTTTGATATTCAAATTCAAACTCTGTTTCCTCATTCTCTGGTGTTCGCATTTCTCCCCATTCTTTACCTTCTTCATTATCTAGTTCTCTCTTCACGCTCTTGTTCTTGATGCCCTTCCTCTCTTTCGTCGCTGGTCTCCTCATCATCCACCTCATCAAGTTCGTAAGTTCGTAAAAATAAAATAGAACCCTATAAAATAAATAACACTAATCAAATTTTTTTGTTTTAAAATTTTCTTTAAAACCATTAAAAGCATCCTCATCAACAATAATGGAAGCTATAGCATTTCATCAAATCTCCCTAAGCATATTCTATTTTCTCACCTAATTCCCTTCAATTTCTTTGGCTTCCTTCTCAAATATCATCCAATTGTACAGACTTGATTACCAAATTGAGAGAGGAATTTTATATCTCATTTTTTTTACTCAATCAACCTACTAAAACGGGCTTATGTTTTTATGTAATAGTTCTAGCCATTGTCATGGAAATCGCCTCAGCCAGTTACTTGGCCCTTGGCAAGGCCAGCAACTCGGTCACGTCTGAGTTACGGAGACCCCTAAATATGTAGAAAGGTTTTCAAATCACCTTAAAAGTAATTAAAAGCATCTTAAAAAAAAATTCTAACCAACATGTTGGTATTTTAAATTTTTAATGTTTTTAATATTCTTTAATATTTTTAAGGGGGTTTTTGGTGCTTGGCAAGTTGAGCACCCAACTTGGCCCAATTCATGTGACCACTAGGTTGAGGCCAAGTCTTGTAATGCTGGTTCTAGCCAATGACTTTGCATTGACATTTCTCTTATGCTTTATGTTGTATTACATTGTCTGAATCTTGAACTTCTCACTTATATTTCTCCCCTTCTTTTTTTTAGGCCAGGAAGGCAACTGATAGCGCATTTCACTCAAGTATTCCAGCAATTAATACAACATGAGGCCATGTGACTACAATATCATGCACTTACACCTATGGAGTCTATGGATTGTTTGAGCTAAGCCAATTCAAAATTATTTTGATGTATTACATGACGAGATTCATTTTGTTGAATTTGTACAATTTTTGTAGAAACCATTCAGTTCAATGGAATACGTACATAAGAGAAAAAGGTTCTGCCCTATCTTCTAATGGAGCTTTTGCTTCAATTGAGTATAACTTTGTTTTGAAGCATAGCTTGCTTCTTGCTTTTGAGCTGTAGTTCGCTGGGCACGCTAGCTCCTAAGAAAATCAAGGAATAAATGAATACCAAAGAAAAATAAACTGCTATTTACATGATTAAGCTGGAATACTGCTCTCACTCCAACCATATAATGGTTGGAACAATAAAACATGCATAATCAAGCCAAAGGAGCAAAACACATTTCCCACTGACACCATCTAATTTATTATTCAAGATCATGCATAGAGTTTTTACCCACACTTCAGTCACTACATTATGGTTTCTATTCGCACTGACACCATTTAATTAACACCTTTAAGAAACTAATTCCTAAACTATTTGAAAAAATGGGTAGGCCTGTCTTCCTTACTGAATTGCCCAAAAAAAAAAAAAGACTTACGAATATTTGAATTTTATTATGAATTTCTAGTGCGGGCCATAATTCCACCTTTTAAGTTAGGACAATTTTTTCTATTTCGAAGACTAAATCATGCAATTTGGTCCCACATCCAAAGATCAATTTTATGGTGTTTCTTTGCTCAGCAATATAGCGATGGCCAAGCCGTTTGCCATGATGTGTGTAAGTGTGTGTTGGATGGCTTTGGAGCAATTCAAGTTAGATGGTCTAGCAGTGGAACCGCTACCATGATGTGTGTGGGGCAACATACCAGTATTGGTTAGATGCCTTGATCTCACCGTCAGGTCTGGATGACCAGGTGGCATGGCTCCGTGTTCGAGTTAGACCCGGGACTTGAGACCGCTCTCTCGTGAACTGTTTAAGGAGGACACGGGCAGGAATACCAACTGGTGAGGGAGAAATTGAGTTGTGAGGAGGGACTTACCTCACGAGGGTCCGTGACACAATCGGGCTAACCTGCATGAGTGCCCTTTTAGATTACGTAGAATGCCCCTTGCCATGTGGTCAGTTCGAAATCGCCTCCCTTGGCTTATTTCCTCTTACCTACAAATACACACACAAATTAGAATACATACAAGTGGGTCTGAGTACCCCACCTTGTCATAGGGGGAGTGCACACATGCATGTGTACTCAAAGGAAAATGGAAAGTGACATGATTGAGTCTGTGTCAATTTGACATCGTCTCCTTCACAAGGGACTCTTAGTACATATGTTACAGTAAAGAAAAAAAAGGGTGAGATAGAGAGAGTGAGAGAGAAAAGGAAAGAGAGAAGAAAAGAAGAAAGAAAGAAGAGTTTGAAGGCTAGTCTACTTTTCACCTAGTACTTCAAAGAAAAGAAAGAGAAAGAAATTGAAGGCTGGTCTGCTTTTTACCTAGTACTCAAAGAAGTAAAGAGGAAATTGAAGGCAGGTTTGCTTTTCACCCAATACTTCAAAGAAATAAAGAAAAGAATTGAAGGCTGGTTTGCTTTTCACCTAGTACTTCAAAGGTAATGTGTATTTTGGAAATGATAGAGAAAAGAGAGACGAAGGCTGGTTTGGCTTTCACCCAACACTTCAGAAATAAAATGTATTTTTGAGAAGAGAGAAAAGAGAAATGAAGGCTGGTTTATTTTTCACCAAGATCCTTCAGAGATGAAGAAAGAAAAGTTTTTGCTTTAGAGAGGGAAAGAAGAAAAGAGATGAGAGAAGGTGAAAGAAATTCGACCGGTGGGCTAGACTGGCATAGTTGTAAGACTGGAGCGACGACTGGTCTACTGCTGCAGGTAGACGGGCACGCTAACTAGACTGACACAACGGCTAGACTGCTCAAGGACATGACTTGCACGTCGACTATTCTGATGCGGCAGCTAGACGAGCATGGTAACTAGACCCGCACAACGGCTAAACTGTTCGACAACAAGACTGACGTGGCAGCATACGATTCAGTCTACCCTCTGGTCAAACAAACAATAGAGAGAGAAAAAAGGAGAAGAGAATGTGCTTGGCAGTATGCACTACCGTGTAAGGCAGAGAAAGAGAAAGAAGAAAGCATCCCACCCGACAGTGTTTACTGTCGCGCAGGACAGAAAGGGGGAGAGAAGAAAGAGAGTCAAGCTCGGTAGCATTCACTGCCGTGCAGGACAGAGACAAGAGAAAAGAGAGAGAGTCACGCTTGGCGGTGTTCATTATCGTACGAGACAAAAAGAAGAGAGAAGAGAGAAGGTCGTGCTCGGCAGTGTTCACTATCGTACAAGACAGAGAAATGAGAAGAGAGAGAAGGTCACGCTTGGCAGTGTTCACTAACTTGTGAGATAGAGAGAAGAGAGAGAAGGTCACACTCGACAGTATTCACTGTCGTACGAGACAGAGAAAAGAGAGAAGAGAGTGAAGGTTGTGCTTGACAGTGCTCACTGCTGTGTGAGACAGAAAAGAGAAGAGAGAGAAAAGAAAGAAGAAGAAGAAAGAGAAAGGAAAGAAGAAAAGAGAGAAATGAAAGAAAAGAAAGAAGAAAGGAAAGAAGAAGAAAGAAAAAGAAAATAAGAGAAAGAAGAAAGGAAAGAGGAAGAAAGAGAAAGGAAAGAAGAGAAGAGAGAGAAAGGAGAGAAGAAGAGAGAGAAAGGAGAGAGAGAAAGAAGAAGAGAGAGAAAGAAGAAAGAAAGAAGAAGAAAGGGAAAGGATGAGGAGAGAGAAAGTTATGCTCGACAGCATTCACGACAAAAGAGAGAGAAAGAAGAGCGAGAAAGAGAGAGAGAAAGATAGAGAAAAAAGAAAGGAAAGACGAAAAAAGAGAAAGAAAGAAGAAGAAAGAGAAAGAAAGAAGAAGAAATATAAAGAAATAGGAGAGAAAAAGAGGAGAGAGAAATTCATGCTTGACAGTACACGCTGTAGTGCACTATAGAAGAAAGAAAGAAAGAAGAGAGAGAAAGAAGAGAGGGAAAGAAGAGAGAGGAGAAAGAAAGTTACCTTTGAGACTCAGGGGTACCCATACATATTTTCTCTCTCCAAGCCGTGACCCAAAAATCAAGCAATAGGGACTTTTTTAATTGATCAAAGAACCTATTACATGTAAATGGTACGTTCTTATATAGAAGTGGGGCCCAAACATAGGTGGATGATCAATTTCTAACCCAATTGATGGAAATTAACAATTAAATGAATTTAAAAAATAATAAAATAGGGGCAAAATGATGATTTTGCCCCTGTACCAACAATCCATAAAATTCCAAATAGGTCCCTGTAATGGGTATGCAATCTTCACGATCTTTCGGGATCCGTTCGGAGTACTTCTGGTCTTCATCCGGCCTAAAGATTATTTTTTTCTTGATTGGCTCGGGAAGATGATCATTTTGATGCCCTTTTCAAACAATGGATCAGACTCTTGGGCCATGATCATGACACGATAAACATGGGAAAATGTGCCATATTATTTTTAAGATTCAGCCAATTTCTCAGTGTTTTTCGCCGGTTTCTTCATTGCAGCATGTCGAACATGTTGCCACGATCATTTTTCAAAAAGAACAGCTCGATTTGGTGCCCAGACGGCCGTTTTCCAAATTGGGAAACTTTAGCCGGAGTTTGAATTTCGTTGGCCGGAATTGCCGCAACTTCGGACTCATTGTGCGTCGAATCTGACCATCCATCATATGCGACGTTAGGCTCAGATGAAGCCTCTGACCTCGTGCTCATAATGGGTCTGATTTTAGGTCGATCCGAGCTGCGAGAGTCGTGATATGCCCATTTGATCAAGAAGACGTGTTGCAAGAAATATCCTACTATTTTTGAAAGTTTTCAAACAAACTTCTCTACTCGATTTCTCTCGACTCGATACCCAGGGGTTTTCAAATGTTCTGAATCCAATGCAGATAGTTTGGAGACCATTTGACACTCCGATAATGGTGCTATAGTTCAGAGTCCATTTTCAGCACAATGGAGGCATAATTTTCGAAACTGTTTTGTCGTCCGCACTGCCTTAAACTTGTCGGTTGCGATGAAACTTGACATGTGTTCTTAGGAGACTCTTAGGCACAATCTTGAACCTTCTTGGGCCGTTTTGAAACCGTTGAAAATTTCACTTCTGGATCAGGGCTTATAGATTTATTATGGCTTCCCTAGTCCACATGCATTTTGGTACCTGCGGACCTAGGTCACGAACTGATCTCTCCTTATTCGCACCAGGGATACAAGTGATGGAAAATGACCTCAAACAGCTTGCCCTGCCGATTGTTGTGCTTCGAGAGAAGCGATAAGCACAACATTCAGAAACAAAATTGTTCCTTCAACTTTAGTTTTCTTCCTAGCCACCTGATCACACGAAGCTAAAGAAAAACTCATGTAAAGCTGCTTCCCAGAGGGATGACCAAGGCCCCCAGTTCTTCCTGGCCACCTGATCACACGAACGCTAAAGGGAAACTCATGCAAAGCTGCTTCCCAGAGGGATGACCAAGGCCCCCAGATGGCTAGGGGCCTTGCTTAAGGACTTGTAGACCCAGACATGGAGACTTTCGGGGGAAAAGATACGTTGCAGGACGATTTTAGAGTCTACACCCTATTAGACATACAAAATGCTTTTAGAGTCTTCACCCTTGTCGGACGTACAAGATATCTTCACCCTTGTCGGACCTTTTGTGGCGTTGTTTGCTGTTACACCATTTTTGCTTTGACAAACAGGGTACCTCTGTAGGCCCCATCCTGCTGAGCCCAGTTGAGTGTTTTTTGTTGATTGTCCTGAATGTCTGGTCCGACCAGGGAGGAATTTTGGCGAGGCGGCCTTGAAAGGGCGCTACCCTGGTTGCTGTGGGTAGGTATTGACCTAATTTGACAATTTCTTGTTTGTGATGGATCTTGAGGCATGATTTTAACGTCTACACCCCATTGCATGTTTGACATGATGATTTTACAGTCTACACCTTATTCGACGTATGAGTGGCGTTGTTTGCAGCCTCACCAGCTTTTCTTGGCGAGATTTGACAATTTCTTGCAAGTGAATGATCTTATTTTTTGGTCCTAATAACAAGGTATTCTGTTATTAAGAAATTTTCTTGAAATGCCGGTTGAAGC